TTATTGACCATACCTTTCCTTGAGACTTCCTGACTCTCTTTCCACTTTTCTCTGTTGTCTTGAATAATCAACAACAAGTTGTCCTTAAACCTTGGTATGTCTAAGACTGATAAAATCTGCCTTTCTGTGCAGGTCCCACTCTCACGGCTGGCACCTTCTTTGTCCGTGGCTTTACTTGTCTTCGTTGATTGGGCTCTTCTAAAAAAGAAACATTTTATGTTTTTGTAAGTAGGAAAGGGTTTTGGTTTTTTTGTGGGGGTTTTTAGTTTTATACAAAACATGACTTGCGTAGATTGATTTTGTTGGATTCATTCTCTAACTTTTCAAAACTGTGAAGGAGGCCTTTTTTCTTCTTCAGTGCACCCTACCTTTCCTCCAAGGAGATCCAGGGGTGTACACGGATCCCCACTTTAGCCCCACAACAATTTTATGAGTCAAGGTGAGAGCCTGTGACTATTCCAAGGTCATCCAATAATGGCAAAATAGGAAGTTGAACCCAGGTCTCCCAAGTCCTGGTCTTTAATCAACACACTAGTTAATATGAAAGACCTACATTAATGGTGGAGAATAAATCTATTCTCCTGGTTGCTGAAAATAGCCATGACATTATGAAGAATGAACAGGAAATAAAATGAGGGGCAATAAAGTCTTGGAGGGTAGGTGTGGTGGAGAGAACTGCAAAACAAAAGACAGGACCTCCTCCTCCAGCCTGGGCCTTGATTTTCAGAATTATGCATTTCAGTTACAGTATTTGCATTCTTTAGTTTTTAACATTCAAGGGTGCAACTAGTCTGTATGCAAATCAGCGGAACTATATTAAGTGCTGAGATATCCAGTGAGGTATAGACTACGACTGAGGAGGCCTGCGTTCAAATCCCCACTCAGCTGTGAAAACTCACTGGGGTTTGTGAATCTGCTAAAACCAATCTTTAAATGTCTCACTTCCCTTGAACCCCCTGTTAGTTCTCTGTAAGTCAGTTCTGACTTGATGGCACCTAACAGCAATAATATTGCTACAGCTGCTGCACCTATAAAATCTGACCTGTGCAAATTTCACCCAGGGAAACTTAATAAGTTCCAAAACTTTATATATTTCTTCATAAAATGGGTAGAAAGAAATTATTAAATTATTATTAAATGTAAGAGAAAACAAAATTGTCAGATCCACCCATCCTATGGGTATAAATGTGGGGAAGCTGGACGTTTTCCTCCACTTTCACTTTTCTCCTCCAGACTCCTGCAGGAAAATAGCAGCAGGAACAATGGTTGTACACCCAACTATCCATAGTCATGGGCAATTTTCACCTACAATGCCTCTGAGAAAGGATGATTTGTAACAAGTAACATCCCTCATTCTACACTGTTAAGCAGGCATGGTTGCCCTATTGTCATTTCGCTGCTCTTAAAAACTAACCCTTCACACACATACACAGAGAGGGAGAGGGAGAGAGAGAGGGAGAGGGAATGGGAGGGGGGGGGAGGAACTGAAGCAAGTCTGAATCACAGACTGCTAAAATCTAAGTTCCCATCATTGAATGTCTCTTGAATCAATCAACATAGAATTTCTTCAGCCCCTTTCAGGTTTCTCCTCTTTTTCTTATACCATATGAACACACAGAAAAGTGAGAAGCAACAGTAGTCTTCTTGATCTTTATACTCGGGATAGGAGGGAGATCCTTTCCTTCAGGTAGCAAAGTGACTTTAGCCATGACTATCCCACTCTGCTCTGTCCTGACATGTTGTTTTACTGCTTGTAATTACAGTTCAGGCATCAAGAACAACAACGAAATGGTTCTTAAAAGTGAAGAAAATGTCACCATGACTCCTTTCTCTTGCCATTATTAGAGAGCTGGATACTACTACTAATGTAAAACAAGTGAGCAAGAACATCCATACCGAGAAGCACATCTAGATTTAGAAGCCTCATGTATAAGAGGTCGAACGATTTCATTCACGGCATCAAGTAGGAGAACAAATATAGGTTTCACTATGACATCAATAAATCCTATAGATAAAACAAAAAAAAATGCATTGGCTTCTTGCTGTAGATAAAGGAACTACAGTTTTCACAATCCTCTACTACTGACCATGCTACCTGGGGCTTCTTGGAGCTGAAGTCTCAAATGTCTGGGAGACCTGTCTCGTTGTAAGTGTGCTGCATTGTCTCAGTCAATCTGTCTGAGTTTCCAGAACCAGTTCTGGTTGGCATTTTTAAAACTGGGCAGAGGCTTCTGGGGACCTCTAAGACCCTTAATGTAAAATCCTCTGCTCCTGGAAGACTTCAGAAGTACAAGTTGACCAATTTTTTAGAAATTAAAATTTTAAAGGTTCTCTCACACATCCGGGGAGCTGTTGAGACCTCAGAGGTGACCCCGGGGCTGCACTTTGCTCACCTCTGACCTAAAGTGAAGCATGGCGAACAAGACAATATGATATGCTTCCCGTATGCTTTGCAATTGAAGATTGTGGGAGAGGTCCTTTGTCTTCCTGAGGCAATGTGTATAATGCATCAATCAGTAAAGCCCAGCTCTTCCCTTTTTTTGTCATGGTCCTTCGAGGTTTGCTTTATATGACATAATAAATTTATTTTTCCCTTCGTATGGTTTTCATTTGCTTTTTAAAAAATTGATCTCCAAATGCCAATTTCTCCCTGTGTGACTCAAAACAATTTGTATGCACAGGGCAAGGTTGTTTGCTTTATTTGAGATATACCAGATCAACATAAACAGTCCTAGTTTGGCCTAGAATCCAATGTGCTTTCTATTTTATTTTCTTAGAAAAAAAATACAAATAGGGCATTTATTACATTTCTTTTAGTCACCAGTGGGCCAAAATACAGTCAATATCTGAGGATATTTCAAGATCCCTATTGTAGTTTTTGAAGAAGCAACCATGTTAGTTTGTGCAAGCATGTCAAACAAAAAACAAAGCAAAACAAACAAACAAACAAACAAAAAGACAAAAATGTTGTGCCACTTACTGTATAGTTCAGTGGTTTAGATAAGAGGCGAGACAAAAATATTGTGGCACTTGCTGTATAGTTCAGTGGTTTAGATAAGAGGCTGGGAGTTTGATTCCGCACTGTACCTCCTTGACAAAAATCTAGACTTGATGATCCATAGGGTCCCTTATTTATTTCTAACATTATTGTTATATTATTATTTAAAGACTAAATATTATATTTTTTGACCCAACTCTGGGAGGCAGTGGAAGACAGGAGGGCCTGGCGTGCTCTGGTCCATGGGATCACGAAGAGTCGGACACGGTTTAACAACTAAACAACAACAACAACAACAACAACAACAACAACAACAACAACAACAACAACAACAACAACAACAACAACAAAATACTATATTTTAATGTAAGCTAATGTGAATTGGAGTGAATCTTTTATGTATGGGAAAGACCCTTCCTTTCTCTCTTTGTATCCTTGTAGCACCTCTGCAAATAGTCTGCTCAGGTACTGCAGACCTTTACAGTAGCAGCCTGAAATCTCAGAAGCCTCTCAGCCATGCAAATCTGCTGCTTTCAAGTCCTGCTCTCAAACTGGGAAGAGGTAACAAGCGGGGTACCCCAGGGCTCAGTCTTGGGCCCAATGCTCTTCAACATTTTTATTAATGCCCTGGATCAGGGGATCCAGGAAATGCTAATCATATTTGCAGATGACACAAAAATTGGGTGAAATAGCTAATACCCTGGAAGACAGAAAGAAAATTCAAAATGATCTGGATAAGTATGAGTACTTGGGCTGAAAACAGGAGAATGAGATTTGACAAGGATAAATGCAAAGTACTGCACTTTGGAAAAAGAAACCACACAGTTAGAAGATGGAGGCTACCTGGCTTAAGCAATACTACGAGCAAGAAGGATCTTGGAGTCATTGTAAATCACAAGCTGAATATAACATGATGTGGCTACAAAAAAGGCAAATGATATTTTAGTTTGTATTAAAAGATGTATAGTCTCCAAATATTGTGAGGTACTAGTTCCCCTCTATTCGGCACTGATTAGGCTTCATCTTGAGTACTGTGTCCAGTTCTGGACTCCACACTTCAAGAAGGATGCTGACAAATTGGAACAACTTCAGAGGAGAGCAACAAGGATAACGAGGGACTGAAAACCAGGTCCTATGAAGAAAGAATGAAAGAATTGGGGTTGAGAAAAGAAGACTGAGGCAGAGATAGGATAGCACTTTTCAAATATTTGAATGCTTGTTATAGAGAGAAGGGGCAAAATCTGTTCTTGGTTATCACCCCACACAAACACGATACACAACAATGGGCTCAAGTTACAGGAAGCCAGATTTCAGTTGAATATCAGGAAGAACTTCGTAACTGTTAGAGCAGGACAGCATTGGAACCAATTACTTCAAGGGGTGGTGAGTGCTCAGACATTGGAGGCATTCAGGAGAAATTTAGACAACCATCTGGCAGATATCCTTTGATTTGTATTCCTGCCGTGAGCATGGGGTGGACCCAATGGCCTTATGGGCCCCTTTCATGATTCTACATTTCTCCATATTTGTTATATACTGTGTTGTTGAAACTTTGCTGTATTTTCTATTGTGTTTCAGTAAAATTGCCCTTCTGAATAGCTCTGTGTGAGTGTGATATACTCAGTCCAATCTGTGTCAAGACACACTATTGCCATGGATGAAAGATCTTATATGTGAGAGTTCATAGATGTGCTCTCAGAGCACACCTAGTGACAAGGGAGTCAAGTAAAACTAATCCATGAAAGCTCACATTAAAATATATTATTCTTTACAATGCTATGTGTTTGTTTTGTTTTTTATTTGTTTTGTTCTTGTTTTTTTCTGGAAACCTTGAAGGACTTCCCTTTGGTTTTAGCAGAAGAAATGCATGTCTAAGAATTTCATAAACAAAAGGATAGTAGCAGATGTATTTCAAGACCATGACACCCCAACAGTGCTCTTGTGGAGAGTGGATGTTGTGCTTGGCAGATACCCAACATCCAGCTCATTGGCACAGCACTGCACATTTTTGCACTTGGTGCTGAGACCAATTCTATGAGATCTGAAATTGACCAATAATCCTGGACATCATGGGATCGAAGGCTAACACACCTCAGCCTGAAATGTCATGTCTTGCAAAAATTGGGTTGGAGCTGGTCCACATCACACTAGTATGCATGTCACATTGCCATTTTGGACTCAGGTAGCCTCACTGCGAGGATCTCTCCAATATGTTTTCCCTGCCTGCTTGGTCATTTGATTGCAGTTTTCCTCAGGAAGACTGTCACAGCCTCCTGCTCCTGACATATTTATAGGGATGAAAAGAATATGTGCTACATTATTTTTCTTGTTGGTATATGAATGAAACACCTTGGTGAGAAATTTTAAAGATGTACAAGATTCCTCTCTTCACTTTCAT